GAACCAGAGAAGTTGAGTTCATCATGTACGAAAAATGGTTTGTTACAGGTCGTGTGATCGGTGCCTTTTATTTGAAATGCTTTATATTCCGAACTGTGGGTGTTCCTAAAGTTTTCTGTCTGCAACTCCGTTCCCCTGTACATCCCCGCTGTTCTGGACGACCTGTTCAGTATGAAGGCTTTGCCCTATACACCACTGAACTGCCACAACTCGATAACGGAGAGGTTACATTAGATTTCACCCGGTTTGCCGACATTGCCTATGTGTACACGGCGGATAAGCAACGCACGCAATTGGTGAGTTGAGAACTGTTGCCTTTGCTTGCTCTGTAGGGCAAACAATTTTCATCGTCCTCAATCGAGACAAAATCACTCTCCGACATTTTTATATCCAACCTATTCTTCTAATTTTTTTTCGCATTTTGGATGATTTAAACTTCCAAAACAGCAGTCCTATGCCTATCGGGGCTTATAGGCATACAGAATACGTTTTTTCATCAGAAACATGCCCATCTGATAGTTTGCTGTTTGCACGAGAATGAAAGTGTGGAATAGGAGGTACCGCCTAAATTATCGCATTAGAAGCGAGAGATATAGACTGAGTATACGCATAAACACCAATGATGATGTGTCAACAAATTGATTGCTGTTCAATATTTGAGCCTCTATAATAAATTCAGACGCAGTGCTATTTTGTAGGTCAAATGAAAACTGGCACCTTTTTGACATACAATCATGATATGTTTAATGCGTATTTGGTCGTTAACCGATAAGCAGACATTTATTTATTTTTTGAGATTAGAGAACTCGACCCGGTTTGACAAAAACAGGTACCGGTTGTCTCTACCATGAGGAGAATCGGATGACCAGCACCAAAGACCATTCCCTTGGGTTGACTTACTGGCAGTGCACCTGTTAGAAACGTAGCAGTTTTGTTTGGTTATACCAACGTCTGTTCAGATTTCTAAACGCCTACTCATTAATGTAAAGTATAAACCTGCCACATGTGAAGATAAACGTACTCACGCAGTGCATTAGTCATCCCATATCCCGTATACTGAGCCCCTGTTATCCACCATGTACCTTCACAATCCTTTGCAGAAATTACACGCTGTGATCTATAAGAACACAAAATCATGCAAATTCACACTGGACGATCAAACGCCTAGAGAGCTTCTCATGATTCTTGTGGAAAACCGAGGTCACAGAAACTACGGTAACGGAATGAATGATAATGCCAAGGTAAGTATCCTTAATATTGTATTTCAAACATAGCTAGGATATAACACTGTTGCTTGTCTGTATGACGATCCTTGGTTCATCTACTCACGTTTATACTCCGAAAGCATTAAACGTGATCTTCTTCGCGTTCATCAGTTCAATTCAGTTTACTTTGAACAAACATTAGGCATGAATTCCCGTGCGACGCTTTTGGTTGCTGTTTTTTGGCTGCCCATTTGGGTGAACAACAGGAGACATACAGGAAGATTGAAAGTAGGATCGAAGAGAAAATTGAGAAGTTCAGTGGACTAATGATGCAGGCAAATTGAGAAGATGCACGAACGCCACTGTTTACGACACCCAGCCGTCAGTCGTGTTTATCCAACGTCTTGTACAGGATTCGAACTCCGAACCACGCATGTGTTACGACTGCAACAAACAGGCTGATCAGATATATCAATACCTTTTCCATTCTAACAGTGTGCTCAATGAAATTTGGTCAGTTCTTCTCAACATTTAACAGATTTTTTGCCTAATCCCGAAAGGAACCGTGTCCGGTGTAAAGTATACGAATGCCACGCTCATCTGTGCGGATCCCGTTTGGATGACTGTGGAAAAAGTGTAGCACCGGATCAAGTTCGGAATAAACACTTTTCTCTCATAGTAATTCATTTTCACAGATAAAATTAAAGTGTGTTTCTAAAATGATAGTCACGTGGCACTTGGTTGATCAAAACCTGTGTACGGATGATGCGATCTTTTGTAAAATACGGTTGAGATGACCGCCGAGATACTGAAAAGTTTCTAATAAAATATTTTTGTGGGAGAACAGTGCGATCGGCTCCTCAATTGAATTCAAGTGAACAGAAGAACAACAGGTAACCTGTTACATCATCAGAGGGGACTAAAATTAAAAGTATGCTTATGCTGGAGCATACTCGTCCTCTTATGTTTGTCGTTTGGTGGATGCACCACAAGCGAAAACAAAGAGATGTTTTGAAAAAATCGCTCTACTATCGCAAGTGGTTATTATTCGAAAATTGTAGCTGTCTTCAGTTGTTCTGTTCAAAATTCTCACGAGATATCAGTGTTTCTAAAAAAACCGCATAGTGTTTATTAACCGGTCAAAGCTCTCTCTCAATCACCTTCTCCGTGTATCTCGTTTCCATAACTATTGTCAGTCGCGCAATTAACCTGACTAATATATAGCATCTTCGAAATTATGATTTAAATTCAATATTTTCTTTCGTACTTTCTTTTCCAACTGGGATGTACTTCATGCAATAAGGGACTGATGGGCGCGGTAAAAGCTAACGGTCAAGTGCTATCCCCGTGGACAATGATTGGTTTCGGCGATGCCCCCAACAGCACCAATTTGTAAGTGGTTATTATTTGTCCTGGGCCTATGTTCTAATGGTTTTGTAAATATGCTTTAATTGCGGTCTGTGACATGCCCGATCACTTTTGACCGGTTCGGTGACATCATGAATCAATTGCACGTTTACCTTACGATAAGTGTTACACCCACTAGATATTCTAAATTGGCAAGTTATCCTGAAACGGAATTTGCGTATCATAATAGACTGCTTGCCCAAAAACCAGGGAACCCTCTTCCACGGAAGAAATCACACAAAAATTTATCAAATCACCTACAACAAAGCTCAAGGTTTTAAAAACCAAACCGATCTCCAGAGGCATGTGATCAATGTTGCGGGAAAAACCGATTGAAAGGAACCACTGTGTTAACAAAGACAGTAACTACCGTGAGTAGAATTCTGTCGCCAGCACACTTGATCTGTTCCAATAGGTTTTCCGATTGTAAAAAGTCGACGAACTATATTCACGAAGTTCAAATGGAATCAGGATCCGATGATCCAGCAGCCCATGGTATCACTGGTGCGCTGTGGCGTTGTCATCCGGTTCTGCTAGAGTCAATGCCATGAAGCTATGAGATGCGAAACTAATCAGTGCCATCCAGCTTTTGTGATGAACGAATTTACACTTATCCTGCACAATAACCCAATATACACTGTTGAGGTTTCATGAACTTCATTAGTACAAAGACTTCCATCGGCGTTTTTCACTAGGAAATAGTAGACGCTTTTATCTCGAAGAGTTCATTTCATCGCCCGCTTGTAACCCGAAAGTGTGACAAACGCAATTCCATCTTTCACTTAGTTAGCCAGTTGACGGAGCATAACTAAGTACGACAAAGACCTCATTGAACAGCAATGTATACTGCAAACATTAAGTCGCCAAAGCATTTTCTGGAACAGTTAGTCAAGATTTGCTCCAGAGTGTTAACTTTATCGAATCCCTGGATGTTCCTGCACACACGTGATTCACTTTTTGTTTTACTGAACACAGAGACAACGCGGGTAAATCAAATCCCAGCGAATGGCCGATAGTCGGATCCACGTACACTGGGGTTCTGTTCGTGAATAGCACGGAAACCAAACAAGACACATACATTCACATGGACACATTCAAACGGGTGAGCTGGTGCAAATGAACTATTTGTAAATATATTTGTTGCCTCATTCAAAATGGCCATATCTGTTCTGCGACTGTCGTAATATTATATTTGATCAATCAGGACAGTTTCGTGTGAACAGTTTGGAATATATAACACCGTTCATCACAAGAAATCGTTCCAACGATAAAGTACACTGCACATCTATTGCCCTGCATCGCCTGAAATTCATTTCCTTCTCAAAGACAGATTGTCCCTCCAGGCTTCTTCAGAACAAGCTTCGTAGGCCGTCAAACAAGACAACCATCAAAGAGAATGAAGGAACAGGAGGAAACAAGGACAGCAAAAGGCGTGATGTGCCAACACCTGTGCGAAAGTAACCACCAAGTGGACGGAAATCGGGCGTTTAAAGCCGTTTATCGTATCCCGCAGTTATCTCGTCAAAATCAGTGCCACTTCACAAGCACAATGGAGAACCCAGACCACCCACGTCGTCCAACACTCGTCTACGGGAGCACTCAATCAAATTAGTGCTCCCAAAATGCCGGCGTCATTCATTCGCCCTCAGAGTGTGCATTACTTGGAATTCTCTACCACCACACGTTGTTTCTGNGCACACAATGGATTCATTCAAGCACAAACTGGGTGAAGTTTTGAAAAGTCTAAAACTTTAACATCCGTAGAAGCGCACGAAAAAAGGACAAATTGTGACATTCATCTACTTTGTATGAACTGTGAACCGATTCATCTGTGCCAAATTCTATGGGACTAGAACTACAACCGCTTTTAAGTATTTCCCATAATAAAACTTTCACTTTCGCTGGTGATGAAACATTTGCAAACAAATTGCCAAGCTCGGTGAACAGGTGAAATGGAATGAAGTGCGCTTTAGTCAACTACCCACCTAGCAACCGCAGTCCGAATGCTTGACCTCCAACTCAGAGAAAAAATCTCAAATTCTCTACCTGTAGTAAACGTAGCTGATCAGTTGATGAATTAATCGAAACACAGCTAGTTTCGCCTATCGCATTCTAGTTTCAATGTCACAATGAACCTTTTCGTATGATGGTAAAACACACAGTTAGAGACGCGTATAATCCTGCTTTTTAACCCACTGATTATGTGCTGAGTCTAATGTCTTTCAGCACTCTAAGTTACTTCATTTGTATCATGTTCACAGGGTGTTTTATTCGTGAACGGCTTCAACCTTGGACGATACAACATGCCACAAGGACCACAACTACGTCTCTATTTACCTGCTCCGGTCCTTCGAGTTGGAATAAATACTGTCACCATAATGGAACTGGAAGGTATCACACCGAAAGGAGATGAGAATGGATTGTTCATCACGTCCTACACTGATCAGGCTTGGTCCAGATAAGCGCACTGGTTGCTTCACGATACCAACCCCTGCGGAAGACAATGCCAATCTTAAAACCCGAGTGACTTACTGTCATTTATTTTTCCATACAATGCCCATTTGATTGCCTCTGAATAAAGGGGTCATGTTTTAATCTGAATAAACTGATTTATCTTTCTACGCTTCGATAACTCCATATTGGGTCAACTGACATCAGTTGGGTGAAGCAGGAAAATACGAGTGATTATAGTCTGTCACTGAGGCTCTGCGGAAGATAATCCCACATCTGGAATAGCACAGCAAGGTGGTCTACAAGTGAATGGTACATTTATCGCGCTTGCCTGCTGCCGGATTGATTGATTGACAGATGCTGTCAACCAGTACACACACACACTCACGCCATGCCTACTGGCTCTCCTACAATATCGATCGGCTCCAGCTAATCGGATATTTTTATTGAACTGTCCTCACTGATTGATTTACTGACTGTCTGACGACCTACGGCTGTTGTGGAATGCTTGAGCCAGTTGTTTTCCTGCCTCCCTGCATGTTGCTTGCTTCTGCTTCCTCACCGGTCTATGAACCGACTACATATGTGTCATCTACAATAAACGCACTGTATGTTTATCTATTTACTCAACCCAGGACACAACACACACACACACAAAAGTGCAAACATTTCCATCTGTTTTTTACGCGGTGAGCTAGATAAATAATCCAAAAAATTCTTGTATTCCAAGTCGGTCAACTTTTCCCTTTCATCGAATAAGGTAAATTTTCGACAACATTCCTTGAACAATCACGTTGGAATCTTTAGTGCACAGCGATCAATCGAATACAAGTTGTCTCCAAATGCCTCAATATGGTCGGATTGGGTGTCACGGGTTTTGACTGGTCACCATTTCCCCACACCTCGCGAAATGCTTCCAAGCCTCTCAAAACGTTATACTGAGGAAGCCTCACTCACTGCCTTCCTTTGGCGTAAGTGTTTTCCCAGCAAAGTGAGAAAACCGAAGGCTCCGGTTATAAACTCCATAAGAAAATTCACCTACTTTGGCCTGGGCAGCATCGCACCCTCGATCAAATCAACTTAATTTACTTCGCATGGATTGTCCTATTGAAGGGTATACTCGGCTTTATTAAGAGCCCGCGAGGTACCATGGGATTTTGATACAACAGAGCTTCCCTGGGTCGGTTTTTGAACAACCGAATGCGGATCATCGCCCATGAGTTGGTCCATAGGACCCGAGTAATCCGGGTTTCACTCGACAGAGGTGAATGCAACCAGGATATTCTCACATCGGTCCTATCTGAACCGATTTTCTTTACACTTGTGAGATCGAGTAGCGCATCTAGGTCACTTACCGAGGAGAAGCTTTCGTTCCATATTGTATCCCATCATTCATTTTGCCTGGATTACCGTCAACCTGACTCAGTCCACCTTATAAGTCATTCAAGAGGGTCTGACCGCTGACTCCCACCTCAGCCTGTTAGTATCAAAAGAGAGAGAGTGAATAGAGCGATCGCTTCGTGTCCACTTACCATTTGAATTGAATTCATTCAAACAAATTTACTGACGATCCGTTTCTTTTCCCGACGAGTGCATAGTGTGTGACGAGTTTGAAAGGCTCACCACAAAGTGGTTTGCGATGAGAATTTCCCCAAAGGAACGTATTTCACCAAATGTGAGAGTTTCTCATCCCTCGAGATTACTCAATTGGGTAGGAATAAAACATGGTCAGAATTGACGGTGGACATCAGGACAGCAAAGGCACCATGAATAGTGGAAAATTCGTATCAGCAATGACGAAAATGTTTCCAGAATTTCATGATAAAAATCGTCTGGATAATTGATCGTTTTTCAGGATAACGCTCCGTGTCATGTTTCACGAGAGGTTAGTAAATTTATTTAGTTAAGGTGTCTGGTTCACTTATTATTTGCTTTGAGACTTGAGAAAAGATGCGTCACTCTAAGGTCCAGTTCATGCAACTTCCTTCTAACAGCCCGGATCTCAACGTTATTGAAAATTTGTTTTCTGTTTAGAAGAGATAGGTCAACGTGCTACCTGTGCATTTGATGCTGGAGGAAATGTGCGATACGTCACGGAGCACAGCATAGAAAATGACTTCATAACAAAGTTGATGGATTCGATACCGAAGAGACTCGAAAGTTTCCTAAAGAGCAAAGGTAGACCAATCAACTATTAGTGTACATAAGCTATACATCTTCATTTTTATCAAAGTTGATTTGTTTTAATGAAAAAAATGTTTTATTCTCTTTAGTTGCGTCTTAACTCATCATGGTTTAGATCAATCACTACTTGCGAAAAAGGTGTATCCGCTACATTCTGAAACAATCCAGCTGCTGAGTGTAAATGCTTGTTTATTATTATTTGGAAAAGAATTACTTCAGTATAAATGCTGTTGCCTATACGAACCCACAAGTGTTCCACAGGGGCCCTTTGTTTCAGTTTCGATTAAACCTATACACGTGCGTCAAAATTTGAAGCCGGTCAGTTGCCGAAAAGTCATTGTTGTTGCCCCAGTCACAATTGAGTTCACTGGTAACTCGAAATACGACCATGTTAGATATAATAAAGAAGAAATTGCATTGAATTAGGCTGACAAAAAGGGTGATATTGTTTTGGTTTCAACACACACGGTTGGACAGCAACCAAAATTCATCAGATCAGGTGAACGGAATGAAAACGTCTGAATGCCCGAGGACTGGTCCTTCAGATGTACGGACAATTTCATGAAACACATATCGGGGACACAACCTGGCAGATAGGCTTGTCTCCAATCGTTCCCCACAATACTAATGTATCATTTATATGCATACACACACCGGGGTGAGACTGAACCAAATGTAGGCCGCTAATCAAAATATTTCGATCATACTGGTCCCTGCTTTCATCTCAAGAATTATCAATTCGAGCGCTTAATGGAACAAGCGCGCGCACACAGTGCAGGCCAAAAATGGGTACTCGGTAAATTTAATCTCAAGCCTGTACAGTTAGATTTACTTGAAACGAAATTCAATTAAGGGCAAACAGAAAGTGGGATGGACTACGTTTGTTGTAGTGAGTCAACAAGTATTTCGAATTGGCACGATGTTCGAATCACCAGCCACAATTAACTCGGCTGTATGCATTCCCATGTTTATGAACTATTTTGCCTTCGACAGGTTAGGGGAATCCGATGGCTGGAATTGAATTTCGCTGTGCGCGGACGGCAGGCTTCATAGAACATTTTTTTAACACAACATACCTTCTTGGTGTTGAGGGATATGATGAGATTTAATATATGATTGTGATGGGCGAGGACATATCAAGCGAAATTTCCGTCTCTTCCACATGGAAGATAATGACAATTATTCGGAGCTTTAGGTCGACAGATCCCATAACGGTCGTTACAGCGATAAGCCCATAGGAGATCGGGCTTTATTTTTTCTAATCTGCATCACTTACTGGTAAAAATAATACAAAAACACTATTTCAGACCAAAGGAGGCAAATGCTACCTGCTCCATAGATGTACCTATTCAACGAAAATCGTGATCGCTTGTGCGAGCTTACAACATTAGGCTATTGTTGATAGTCACCGTAAACAATCGAGAGAAAAACAGGATAAAACTATCATAAAGTAAATGGAGTATAATGATAGAAAGCAATTCGTAAAACATTAAAATCAATTTTGTGGGAGAAAGATATGTGAAAAAAGTTACATAACTGTTCGAAATCTCAATCAAACTTGGTTGCGAGAACAAACGTAAGGGATTTTCCGTTCTGTTAATGACTGAAAAATAAGTGTAATACATGTACGAAATACTCTCAATCAAAACATTGGAAATAATTAACTAATATTCATCTATCCAAAATAACTTGTGAATTGTGTACTGAGTGAGTGCCAGTGTACTTTGTTGATTGTTTTAACGCATTCAAATCGGATTTCAGTTGGAGCAAAATCACTTTTACACTGGCCTCCGAGTTCCGGCCGCGGGTTGCAGAGACCTGTTTGTACCGAGCTAGCAATTGTTCCACGCACAACCGAAGAAATTCGTCACAACACTGACCTTCCAAATCCAGCACTGGTTCGGTTAATAGGGGCACCGTGTGCCACGGACTTTTATCGATCGATAGTGCCCAAAGGGGTATATAAAATGGAGATGTACAGAAAGGAAGAAATCTGTATTCCATAATAACAAGTATCGACGTTCGAATCTGAGAAACCCGGTCCCAGCCCACATTCAAAATAATCAAAAGAAAACGAGGTTGACCGATTCGCATGATGAAATCCTGTTTTGTAATGAGAACTGGTCACTTAAATTATATGATTTGAAGTGACAAACAACCCAAGACCAAACTGGAATAGGCCGTTTAATGCAGCCGGGGATAATTCATATAAAAGAGAATTTTTTTGTGAGAATTTGTAGACGCTTTTTTATTTGACATATGCAAAAAGTGAATAAAAGACGTGGGTTGAAAGGCGACTAGTCGTTGGAATGATTTGTGGCGATATTTTTCGCCACAGTCCATATAGAAACTGGGTTGGTTGCGATGATTTACTTTGGGAGAGTGAATTTCCATCCTCATGTGTTGCAGAAGATCGTCCAATGATGTGAAATTAGTTGGGAATGACGTGTGTGCGGTCCTATTTCCCGATCAGAGGGATGGATACTCGTAGTTCACACCCTACTCTATCTCTTGCGGTTTGACTTTTCATATCTCACGTCAAAGTTCACTAGGCGAGTAACAGTAGATATGTTTCGATGAGCAGCGTTCTTAGTATGGCAATGGTGATTTGAGGGACAGTAGTAGTCAAGCAGAAAAGTTGTTTATCACATCGCTCTGGAGGTCTAGCGTTCAAATCTTACCACCTGATGGACTATCTGTCATCAAGAAAGCAACTTACATAGATCCTGACAAAATGGATCGGAAAAAAGCACCGTGATCTTTCTGCATACGGTTATGCACTCGCTCCAATATCCGTACGATTCGGATACCACGTAGCAGTTTTTCAGCTTCAGTGGTTGTCATGCTGGATGGTGGGTGATCTACGAACGATAGCCAGATGAGAAGATGATTAATGAACAAAAAAGCAATTAATCGAAAGAAATTTAGTAACTCATTTTTAAATTTTTAGAATCTCATAAGCCGCGAGATCTGGGAACCACTAAGAACCAAAAGTAGACATTTCACCAACCGCGAAGAGTGTCGCACGAAATGTTTTGCTCTTTGCGCTTCCAGTTATCAATAATCAAAAGAAAATTACATTCGTAGAAGCAGCTGTGTACTCTAAGCGTGATATATAGATGGTGAAAACTGGAACTGCTGAAGTTTATCGATTGTTGGAATAACAATAATAATAATAATAATAATAATAATAAAACCAATTAATCGGTTGTTTATTAGCATACCTACACGTAAAGGATAAAATATTTCAAGTTTTTCACGACTGGAATTTATAATTCTTCGGATTACAGTTAGCAAACATTAACAGAATTCATCATGCCACTCAGCCAGGTAATAAACTAACGGCCTCTACACCCTATTAAGTCATTCCCAGAAATCAGAGACAACGATCAATACGAAACGGTAACGAGCGTAAGTGGTGTTCTTGCTGGAAAAAGTACGGCACGATTGTTCGGTTATTGGAGAGCAATCGACAACATCAGTTCTCGAGAATCATTATTTTTTATGGTTTTACGACGAGACATGGGCAATATCGCATGGGCAGTGATAATCGAATGTTCTCAAAAAGAGTGGACCACATTTGAAAAGTTAGAAATGGCTTACAGTCTTGGGATTCGCATGTCCCGTGGGAGAGTTCTACAGATGAATCGCGTCGCACTCTAAAGTAAGTAGCTTCATAGTTCTAACGCGGTATGACAATATAACTTTTTGTTTGGATATGTTTTGGTCCCGAAAGATCCAGTAGATTATCTAATATCGTGTGGAAAAATCGTGACCAAGATTCATTGGGTGTCTGCAGTAACAGACCCCTCAAATTTGAACACCGCTGAAAGCGGGGTCAAAGGATAGCAAATACCGAAGTCTATAAGACAACCAACCACCTTTGAAATAGGGGGAAATAGCGTTTCGTTGCCACGATTACGGGAGTGTTGTATAGTCAAACATCAATCGGAATTAAACAATTCGTGGATCAAATACATGAGTCACTCAACAGATCAATAATTTTCCTCTGACATCTTCGATGACAAACCTTACGCTAGTCAGTGAAGAATATGAGAGATGATGTAACCAGCGAGGAGGCAGCAGCATGTTGGGAATATTGAATTTTCAGCAATTCAGTAACTTCTGTTGAAGTAGTTGATACCATTCCAGGTGTTTTTCATAACACACACTAATCTGTGATGAACAGCAGACGGGACGAACCCTATAGTCACGAAGACCCGCTGCTCAGTGATGGAAACCGGGCACCCAAGCCCGGGGACTTGGAAGAGGTGAACCACATAAGAACCCGCTAGGTTAGGCTTGGCATTAAACAGCAGCTTAGTATCGGTGGCATCTCATATCTAACTTCCCCAGATTAGTTAACGTACTTGTACCGCAGGTGGGGATTAGATCTGAACCTCTGTGATAGTGACCCTGGATACGTCTTCATGTTTTAACCTGACACTGAGTTCTCAACGGTCGGCAATTATTCCAAATGGTGGTGTCATCGACTGATAAAATGTGATAAGCGCATCGTGTAAACGAGGCGTGAACTGAAAAGCTAGGAAGCAATGGATAGCTGTTTCGACTTGCTACGAAAATTAATGGTTGGTGGTCAAGTTCAGACCCGAAGAGTAATTTTGCGAGAACCAAAATACTGCAACTTAATCCAAGGCAACACTGATGGTCAAACATATAATCGATAGTGATAGCTCAAGAAAATACCCGTGTATGAGGGGAAAAACGGCTTCGCAAAACGCAACATGTTTCTTTTGTAGTTAGCGTTTCACATCTAATTAGAAAAAAATGACAGATCCAAAACATTCCGCATTGGGCTCATAGTTACTTGTGAGTAGTGGTGGGATAATTGATTTTTATTGATTCGAGCTGACTATCCTTCGGACTTCAGCTTCACGCACAATCCTCAGTTCATCGATTCAACCATACACTCGGGGAAGCACTAGACTCGAGTTTCGCATTGATTGGAGATCATCAGTAGTGCATATCCACCGTCCCGTCCGGGATTTGGACTCATTGCATGGAAGGCGTGTGCGTTACCACTGCCAACCAACCCATATCAGGGCTCAACTGATTTGCGAAATCATGTTTGTTCAGGTGTGGTCTTTAGTGATAGTCAGTTCATTTTGGCCCGACAGCAACGAAGGAAGACACAGATGAAATACTGTTATTAAAATTATTATTATACTGTTATTATCCCACACCACTGCTCACAAGTAACTGAGTCAAATGCGAAATATCAATCCTGCTTTGTAGGTTCGTTGGCGAATCAGTCCGTACCTGCATGGAAGTCCTGACTTGGTAGGAGGCTTTCGATTGGAGATAACGGTGTATGTTTGAATCGTGGATTGAGGATTGTGCGTGAAGGTGAAGCCAGAAGGATAGTCAACTTAAATCAATAAAAACCTTCTATGCACAATCTCTGTCAAGGTGTCACCTTGGCACCAAAATGCAACAGTTCAAAATTAAGCTACATCTGTTAATAGAGGCTAATTGAAATATACAAATAAATCTTTAGTTTTGAATGAACAACAAACTCATCTCTTTTGGTCTCGCGGTTCACTGAACACAAAAATAATCCGCTCTTCTCAACAGTGTTTGACTTTCAAGAATACTTTTCAATTTTCATTGATTTGAGCTAACTATTCTTCGGACTTCACGCACAATCCTCAGATGGGAGGGACCGATGAACTGAGGATTGCTATTGAAGGTGAAGTCCGACGGATTGTCAGCTCAAACCAACAAAAAATGTCTAACCAACCTAAAAACGAATGTAAATTATATAACAGCGTAAGGGGAAAAATGCTCTATAGATAGTCAAATCTATCCCATTTGTGACTAGAGAAAGAAGACAAGAAGGAAGACGCAAGCACCTCATATTATTTCCCTTGGTCACAAAAGTGAAACAGTGGTCTTCAGGCTCAGTATTGATATGCGAACAGTCAAGCTACAATCCACTTTTGTTTGCATTTAATGTACGTTTCCAATTTGGGACTGAAAAGAAACACTAATATCTCGCAATATTCATTTTCTGTCGGTATTCACAACAAGATTATGACATTGATTTGAGCTGAACGCTATTTAGACTTCAAATCTTTTAACGCAATCCTGACTTCGTCCAGTCAACAATCGCCACAAGAAGTACCAGATGCGAGTTTATCTCTACAGTTAGGGCTAATCCGTCGACCGTAAACGATATCCCGTACATGATGTTGCGTGAACCGTGTGTCATCACAGTGCCAACCAGCTGGCTGAGGGGTTGACCAGAAGGACATAATCAAGTCTGTTTAGATTTCGCTTTCAGGGATAGTCAGTCTGTTGGTTTTAATTGGGCAGGAACAAGAGACACAGTTGACTATGTGTTAACGCTATTTGGAAAGGTTCTCGTCAAAAAAATCAAATCACCACCACCAACACAAACACCCGTGCGTGTTCGGGCAATCTTGACCCAAATAAACTTATTAGGTTACATGTTAATGTACGCTGACAAACAGCTCAACCGTATCATTGTTATCCTCTACAGCTCACATCACCCGAGGAATAAAGTCCGAGTTTATTTACAAAGCTCACACAAGATTGCTTACCCGTGACAAGCGCGTAGACTTTCGATAACAACTTGTGGAAGGATTTGAGCGCCATTTGCTGAGTCAAATCGCTCACCTGTGTCAAACACTTTGCAAAGGAAAGTTGTTTGGAATTGGTTTGCTGATAATCCAAAAGCAAACGACTAGTCTGAGTGATAGCGGTGGAAAGCTAAAGAAAAGAGGAACGAGATAACAATCATGGTTGGGAGGAATGACTACCAAAGAGACGAATATATGAGTAAGACATAGGTATCTAAGCATACCTACCATTGACTGAACCTCCCAGCTACAAAAAGAAACAACCTGGACACCGTACATGTGAACAATTCATTCATAAGAACAATTGGTGAGATTTCCGGAGCCACCATGAACTCGTACGTGTTGTTTATATGTAAGCAAACCAAAGGAGATGCATAGCCATAAAAACTATGAGTTGAAATGTCCATTAGGCTAAACTCACCTGACCGCATTGAAATATACTGGCTCTTTTCATCATACCGACAAGTCGCTTCACACAAATGTAGTATACCTTCAAGTCCACACAAGCATCAATTCCTTGTTGCAACATCTCACCGATACGTCTTGACGCCAGTCGCCCACCGGGTTGGTGTCGTCTTTGCCATTTCTCACATTCCATTCGGAGGGATGTGTGATGATAAAGCGGTATGGTACACGTTAGAGTGGTCAGCCGTGTGTGGTCATCTATATCGGCCGCGGAACCGGTTTGCACGGTCACATTTTTCAGTTCTGGACAATCAACCAGTACATGGACGGTCGATACTTTCGGCTAAGACCCGGGAGGGAGGGGAGAAACGGTGTTACGCGCGGGAGTATATTTGGATTGATGACGAGCATGATTCACAACAAGGCTCGGTCTCTCTTAAGCCAGAAACTTGAAGGCGGTGAAACGGCCTCGAATTCAAATAACCAAATCCACTGTGAGAAACTGCTCAAAGATAAGCCCCATTCGTTCTCTCTGACATAAACATATATTCCAAAAGCATGCATGACAATCGGTGAAACGATCCCGTTGTATGTGAATTAGGGTTTTTAATATACATCCATACTACACGAATTCAAAGTTCACTGTCGGTATGGTATCGTAGCTCAGGTGGTAGAGCGTGCGCGTACAAAACGTAGGCGGCATCCATGCGTGGGTTCGAATCCCACCGAGGCGACTGAACTTTTCACAATCGACATAAGAACTCCAAATCTACCAAAATAACCAGCTGCACACTGTGAAATGATATGAAATAAAATGCATACCAGTGTATTGCATTTATAGTAATGCAATGACGTGTGCAGGCAACTACGGCTAGGTATTTGGTGGTGTGTATTCTGATGATGGTTACGGAATTGGTGATTGAGGGTTCGTCGCTTCCGACATGAGGATAGATGTGACCTTCTTTGAAGTATATAACGTATACCACAATTATGTCGAAATCTTCAACAGGGGGAGAGAAGTCCTAAAACAATGGGAAAAGAAATAATCGAACAAGCGGTATCGAGTTATGTAGTTACTGTGGCCAGGATATTTCTACCGCTCTACTTAGTTCACACTTGTCGATCTAAAGTATTTAGGAGTCACATTCTGGCCTAACTGGAAGCAGTCAGAATACGCTTGCACAATCGCCCCACCCTATGTTCTCAAAAACATTCAGTTTTCCATGGCTAGCACCACACACGACACAGTCATTCCCCCCACTCAACTCTGGTGACCGAATCAGTATGTAGGTGTGACAATCAAAGAGTGAGCAATAGCCGGTCGTGGAACTGGAATGCTGATCATTTCTTTTTCCATTTTCTCATGACTTCTCTCGCCTACTAAACATTGTGGTTCATTAACCGGTTGACGAATCACCGAAAATGAGCTTGTTTGCTATTATTTATTCCGCTCACAATGTGTAATGATGATACATTCAGACAATATCTCATGATCATTGTACAGCGAAATACAGTGAGACGGGCTTCATTGATCACTGCCAAACTCGCAATGCATACAAGGCTAGTGGGAAAATTTAAGGTGGACTGGACCTATTTTAAGGGAGGGAGAAGGAGGTGCACCTCTATGGTCAACACAGAGTGCACAATCGAATTCTGCGTTCAGGCGTTCTAGCCTGATAAGAAATGACAACAAGAACGCCACTGCTGCCGGTTCGCTGCCATATCCTTCTATGTCTCCAACCAACCAGTTGTGGAGTCTTTCGGACCCCAACCTGAAAGGCGAGAGACACCTACTCTACCTAATGGCTCTGTGCATTTCTTCATGCCTCGTCTTCCCGTCATTTGCTAACCTTCACGTGGTTTCCTCCAGCCTGGATTAGCTACAGTGAATAAAGCGCGGTGTGGCAGACGAGAGCTGGGCATACGCAATACGTGCCCTAGACAGCGAAGTCTACTAATCTGACTTCGGTGTGCGAGCAGATTTATACCTGATAGACCTCCAAACACACGACTGCTTACCTCCACGTTACCAACCCGTTTGCTCCATCCAACGTGGGCTAAACTGCGTAAACACCAGTAATCGAAAACTTCTAGTCGACGGATATCTTCTACTCACAAATTCAATGTCTCACAACCATAAAGCAGAACTGAACGAACGCAAGCACAATATACACGACCTTTCAACCTCAGTAAAACGTTGCGTCTACTTCAAATGTGTTTCAGTCCTGCTCGAGCCTTGGAAGTGCGGGCGGTTATCTCCTTTGCTGCGCTACCGTCATTGGTCACACAGCTACCCTAGTAGGAAAACTGATCCAACGTAACTAAATCCTGACCATTTAGTGTCAGGGGGGAAGTAGGCGAAACCCAGTCCTGCAGCATCACTTTGCACTTTGAAGGTGTAAAACACATACCGAATGTGGTAACTGCACTTGTTAGTCCATCAAGTGTGCTTTGTGCGTTTTCCATACATTCGAACAGACACGGCGTCATCGGAATACTCCAAATCACACAGCTTTTCTCCAACTGCCCATTCAATACTGGTGTTTTGGAGACCAATTAATGCGTTCTCCAGTATTTCGTCTGCGACGAAATTGAACAGGAACGGCGAGCGAGGGCATTTTTGACGGACGCCGCTGCTGGTGACAAATGGCCTTCTTAGCTCGTTTTAGACCCTTACATGACCAGAGGTCTGGGAGTACAGTGACCTCAGTAGGTCAACGTACTTCTGGGGCATTCGTTTTCGAACAAGGGAGCCCATCAGAGCTTCGCGGTCAACTGAGTCGAAGGCTTCTTTCAGATCAAGGAACACTACGTTTCTTGGTCGTGATGCAGCTCAAGGACATGACACAACGTAAAGGTTTGATCAATACATCCACGGCCAGGCCGGAATCCGGCTTGCTGTTCACGGATATTGTTCTCTCTTGAAGGCATCAGACATCGAATTATGACCGAGGCTAGCACTTTGATGACAATCGGGATCACACTGATCCCGTGGTGGTGTTCGCAATCGTTGCGAGATCCTTTCTTGAATACGGGGACGATTAGTGATTCGCCTCAAATGTTGCGCAGTAGGGTAGTAATGGAGCTTGAAACAACATATGCATATATTTTTAAGAGGATAAAGGCATCAAACAATTATTTCTCGAAATGAATTTGAAAAAAGACATCACTGCAAGTGAGCACGATTTAATATTGGAATCATTTCGCTGCATCGCACCTGGTGTTTACTGCAGTATACAAAATAATTTATACGTCACAATTGGTTGATTTGAACCAAGTATCCTTTGGACTTCATCTTCACGCACAATCCTCAGTTCATCGATTCAGCCATACACTTGGAAGCACTAGACTCGAGTTTTACTCTTATTAGAGCTCATCAATAGTGCACATCCACCTTCCCGTCCGGGATTTGAAATCGGACCCATCGCATGGAAGGCGTGTTCGTTGCCACTATGCAAACCAGGTCAAATCATAGCTGAACTGAGTTGCCAATTCATGTTTCTTCAGTGATAGTTAGTTCATTTGGCCCGATAGCAACGAAGAGAGACACAGATGGCAATCTGTTAACTCCAATCAAAAGCCTCCCACAAAGTCAAGACTTCCATGCAGGTCACGGGCTGACTTGCCACATACCTGCTGGGCTCGATTTTATTTGCACGGGCTTACGGTGCTTGATTGCTATGATCTCTGNCTTAGCAGTCGTCCATTCAATGATTTGAAAACAACCCGAAAAGAAGTCCCGCGCTCGTCTTGGTGGCCAGTCTGAAGCAGATGGAGATCAATTGATAACGCAGGCACTCTGTGAGACCGGCATGATGAACTGGTTGTTTGTGTGGTGCTCAATCTCATCCGCTCGCGTTCGACCCATGCTAGTATGTGTTCTGCCAATCGAGAACATAGCGGTCCCTCTGTTCTACCCACGTAGTCGGCTGCGCATCCACAATGAAATTAATAAATTACGTGCGATTTGGCAAGCAGAGGAAATGGTGATTTCACCAAGGGCTTGGGAAACTGGTTTAGAGTAAAGCAAACGACCGGATTTACAACAAAATATGTGCGGGCTACAGTCACCAGCCTTCTTCGTACGCGTTGGCCTACATTTGAACGGCAGTTGAATGAGAACGTCGCATTTTGGTGCTGTCATCCACGAGGTCCGTCTTTACACTGCATTTTTGTATAAACCTCGCTGGGTAACCATTCAGCTTCAGGTTTTCCGTGAA